CTTGAAATATTGACGCATTATTTCCTTTGAAAGGCAATTTTCTCCCAGAATCGAGTGGGAATGCGTTCTAGGGCTCCTTACGCATCTTTCCAGAAAGTTTGGAGCAATTTCATTTTTTGGCCAAAATTGAAAAAAGTACAAGGGGTTAGTTAGCCTTACATTTTTGATCAAATTTGGCCAAAAAGTGACTTTTCTTCAAACTTAGCAGAAATGACTCTTGATGAAGAGGGAGCATCATTCAATATAGAAACGGCTATAATTTCGAAGATTTGGGCAAAAATGATCAATTTTTGATGAAAATATTAATAATTTTGACTGATTTCGCTCGAAAATATTGACGCATTATTTCCTTTTAAAGGCAATTTTCTCCCAGAATCAAGTGGAAATGCGTTCTAGGGTTCCTTAGGCATCTTTCCAGAAAGTTTGGAGCAATTTCATTTTTTGGCCAAAATTGAAAAAAGTACAAGGGGTAAGCCTTACATTTTTGATCAAATTTGGCCTAAAAGTGACTTTTCTTCAAACTTCGCAGAAATGACTCTTGATGAAGAGGGAGCATCATTCAATATAAAAACGGCTATAATTTGGAAGATTTGGGCAAAAATAAGCAATTTTTGATGAAAATATTAATAATTTTGACTGATTTCGCTCGAAAATATTGACGCATTATTTCCTTTGAAAGGCAATTTTCTCCCAGAATCGAGTGGAAATGCCTTCTAGGGTTCCATAGGCATCTTTCCAGAAAGTTTGGAGTAATTTCATTTTTTGGCCAAAATTGAAAAAAGTACAAGGGGTTAGCCTTATATTTTTGATCAAATTTGGCCAAAAAGTGACTTTTCTTCAAACTTCGCAGAAATGACTCTTGATGAAGAGGGAGCATCATTCAATATAGAAACGGCTATAATTGCGAAGATTTGGGCAAAAATAAGCAATTTTTGATGAAAATATTAATAATTTTGACTGATTTCGCTCGAAAATATTGACGAATTATTTCCTTTTAAAGGCAATTTTCTCCCAGAATCGATTGGAAATGCCTTCTAGGGTTCCTTAGGCATCTTTCCAGAAAGTTTGGAGCAATTTCATTTTTTGGCCAAAATTGAAAAAAGTACAAGGGGTTAGCCTTATATTTTTTATCAAATTTGGCCAAAAGTGACTTTTCTTCAAACTTCGCAGAAATGACTCTTGATGAAGAGGGAGCATCATTCAATATAGAAACAGCTACAATTGCCAAGATTTGGGCAAAAATAAGCAATTTTTGATGAAAATATTAATAATTTTGACTGATTTTGCTTGAAAATATTGACGCATTATTTCCTTTGAAAGGCAATTTTCTCCCAGAATCGAGTGGGAATGCGTTCTAAGGTTCCATAGGCATCTTTCCAGAAAGTTTGGAGCAATTTCATTTTTTGGCCAAAATTGAAAAAAGTACAAGGGGTTAGCCTTATATTTTTGATCAAATTTGGCCAAAAAGTGACTTTTCTTCAAACTTCGCAGAAATGACTCTTGATGAAGAGGGAGCATCATTCAATATAGAAACGGCTATAATTTCGAAGATTTGGGCAAAAATGAGCAATTTTTGATGAAAATATTAATAATTTTGACTGATTTTGCTTGAAAATATTGACGCATTATTTCCTTTGAAAGGCAATTTTCTCCCAGAATCGAGTGGGAATGCGTTCTAGGGCTCCTTACGCATCTTTCCAGAAAGTTTGGAGCAATTTCATTTTTTGGCCAAAATTGAAAAAAGTACAAGGGGTTAGCCTTACATTTTTGATCAAAATTGGCCAAAAAGTGACTTTTCTTCAAACTTAGCAGAAATGACTTTTGATGAAGAGGGAGCATCATTCAATATAGAAACGGCTATAATTTCGAAGATTTGGGCAAAAATGATCAATTTTTGATGAAAATATTAATAATTTTGACTGATTTCGCTCGAAAATATTGACGCATTATTTCCTTTTAAAGGCAATTTTCTCCCAGAATCAAGTGGAAATGCGTTCTAGGGTTCCTTAGGCATCTTTCCAGAAAGTTTGGAGCAATTTCATTTTTTGGCCAAAATTGAAAAAAGTACAAGGGGTAAGCCTTACATTTTTGATCAAATTTGGCCTAAAAGTGACTTTTCTTCAAACTTCGCAGAAATGACTCTTGATGAAGAGGGAGCATCATTCAATATAAAAACGGCTATAATTTGGAAGATTTGGGCAAAAATAAGCAATTTTTGATGAAAATATTAATAATTTTGACTGATTTTGCTTGAAATATTGACGAATTATTTCCTTTGAAAGGCAATTTTCTCCCAGAATCGAGTGGGAATGCGTTCTAGGGTTCCTTAGGCATCTTTCCAGAAAGTTTGGAGCAATTTCATTTTTTGGCCAAATTTGAAAAAAGTGCAAGGGGTTAGCCTTACATTTTTGATCAAATTTGGCCAAAAAATGACTTTTCTTCAAACTTCGCAGAAATGACTCTTGATGAAGAGGGAGCATCATTCAATATACAAACGGCTATAATTTCGAAGATTTGGGCAAAAATGATCAATTTTTGATGAAAATATTAATAATTTTGACTGATTTCGCTCGAAAATATTGACGCATTATTTCCTTTTAAAGGCAATTTTCTCCCAGAATCGAGTGGGAATGCGTTCTAGGGTTCCTTCGGCATCTTTCCAGAAAGTTTGGAGCAATTTTATTTTTTGGCCAAAATTGAAAAAAGTACAAGGGGTTAGCCTTATATTTTTGATCAAATTTGGCCAAAAAGTGACTTTTCTTCAAACTTCGCAGAAATGACTCTTGATGAAGAGGGAGCATCATTCAATATAGAAACAGCTATAATTGCGAAGATTTGGGCAAAAATAAGCAATTTTTGATGAAAATATTAATAATTTTGACTGATTTCGCTCGAAAATATTGACGAATTATTTCCTTTTAAAGGCAATTTTCTCCCAGAATCGATTGGAAATGCCTTCTAGGGTTCCTTAGGCATCTTTCCAGAAAGTTTGGAGCAATGTCATTTTTTGGCCAAAATTGAAAAAAGTACAAGGGGTTAGCCTTATATTTTTGATCAAATTTGGCCAAAAAGTGACTTTTCTTCAAACTTCGCAGAAATGACTCTTGATGAAGAGGGAGCATCATTCAATATAGAAACAGCTATAATTGCAAAGATTTGGGCAAAAATAAGCAATTTTTGATGAAAATATTAATAATTTTGACTGATTTCGCTCGAAAATATTGACGCATTATTTCCTTTTAAAGACAATTTTCTCCCAGAATCGAGTGGAAATGCGTTCTTGTGTTCCTTAGGCATCTTTCCAGAAAGTTTGGAGCAATTTCATTTTTTGGCCAAAATTGAAAAAAGTACAAGGGGTTACATTTTTGATCAAATTTGGCCAAAAAGTGACTTTTCTTCAAACTTCGCAAAAATGACTCTTGATGAAGAGGGAGCATCATTCAATATAGAAACGGCTATAATTTGGAAGATTTGGGCAAAAATAAGCAATTTTTGATGAAAATATTAATAATTTTGACTGATTTCGCTCGAAAATATTGACGCATTATTTCCTTTTCAAGAATTTTTTTTCCCAGAATCGAGTGGAAATGCGTTCTAGGGTTCCTTAGGCATCTTCCCAGAAAGTTTGGAGCAATTTCATTTTTTGGCCAAAATTGAAAAAAGTACAAGGGGTAAGCCTTACATTTTTGACCAAATTTGGCCAAAAAGTGACTTTTCTTCAAACTTCGCAGAAATGACTCTTGATGAAGAGGGAGCATCATTCAATATAGAAACGGCTATAATTGCGAAGATTTGGGCAAAAATAAGCAATTTTTGATGAAAATATTAATAATTTTGACTGATTTCGCTCGAAAATATTGACGCATTATTTCCTTTTAAAGGCAATTTTCTCCCAGAATCGAGTGGAAATGTGTTCTAGGGCTCCTTACGCATCTTTCCAGAAAGTTTGGAGCAATTTCATTTTTTGGCCAAAATTGAAAAAAGTACAAGGGGTTAGCCTAACATCTTTGATCAAATTTGGCCAAAAAATGACTTTTCTTCAAACTTCGCAGAAATAACTCTTGATGAAAGGGGAGTATTATTCAATATTGAGACAGCTATAATTTCGAAGATTTGGGCAAAAAATGATCAATTTTTGATGAAAATATTAATAATTTTGACTGATTTTGCCCCAAAATGTTGACGCATTATTTCCATTTTAAAGGCAATTTTCTCACAAAATCGAGTGGGAATGCGTTCTAGGGTTCCTTTAATAGGCATCTTTCCAGAAAATTTGGAGCAATTTCATTTTTTGGCCAAAGTTGAAAAGTACAAGGGGTTAGCCTTACATCTTTGATCAAATTTGGCCTAAAAGTGACTTTTTTTAAACTTCGCAGAAATGACTCTTGATGAAAGAGGAGCATCATGTAAACAACATTGGGAGAAAAAAAATTACGTTTCTCAAAACAACGCAAAACGCAGGGCGACATCGCAATGATCGCCCCATACAAAATGTATAATGCATGTTGTGTGTGTCGTTATAAATACCTCTAGGGACAATCATTGCAATGGTCGCCCTGAATCGTCATCAGCACCTCTAGGGGCGATCATTCCTGCAATGGTCGCCCTTAGAGGTATACTGATGACGACACAGACATGCATATTCCTGACTACTTTTAGGGCGACCATTTATATTTAAAAAAATTTACTTTTGTATTTTCTTTGCGGTTGTCATGGTAAAATTACCCATAAAGAAATCTTGTGTCTGTTTTATGCCGTAAATCGAACAACATTTTGAACAGACAGCAATTATTTTTTCCCCCAAACACGAGAAACTATATCGCAGCGAAAGAAATGTATTTTCATTTGGAAAATATTCCCCATTTCCGTTGAAAAGATGTATTGCTTCAAAAGCTCTGACATGAATCATTTTTAAGTCATTGGAGGAATAATCAAACAATTAGTTAATAGACATTTTAAAATAGCAAAAAGCGAATGAAATTGAAACCGGTTCGAAATAGTTGCACTTTTTGTCATCCAATTTATTCGTTTTTAATCGATTCCTTGACGAGTATAACCGAACACTTAATGATCGATATTTTAAGTATCGATATCTTAATAAGTATCTACATGTACAACATTCTGGCATTAATGACTACAAGTCACGTGATACACATATTAACAATGACGCTATAAAGGTTTCCATCATTTTTTCCTAATATTCAAGACTGATAGTAGCACTCGAAGAGTTATGTATAGAGAAAGAAAGGAAAAAATCCATATCAAAGAAAAGAAAAACACTTCATTTTTATACAGTAATCTTTCCGCTTGCTACATACGAAACAATGGCGGTGGGTGATGGTTAGACTGGCCTGCCCAGTCCTCCATTTTTTTTCTTATTTTTTTTTGGTTTTTTTTTGGCTGCTAAATAATAAATTGTACAGATTGAAATATGGAGGGACTTGGCAGGCAAGTTGAATATAAATTAAGTATTGACTCAACTAAAGACAATAATTACGTACAGTACAATATTCATAATACTCACATTAGACTTGATCCCAGTCCACTCACACGTAATACAAAATCTTATGATAAAAAAAAACTAACCCCCTTTGAGCATTCTGATAAGCATACAGAGATATCTCATTGAAAACTTTATTTGCCCTTTTTGCTCGGCCATACAATGTATGGTGTGCAAAAACAGTATTTCTTCCAGTCAATCAATAATTGTTTTGCGCATGTGTGGAAGCTATGCTCAATAAGCTGTACAATTACACCAATAATCTGTAAATTTTGTAACCCCCCCCCCATATTTTATATCAATAATTACAACAATCTGTGTGAGTGGTAAACCTCAGAACAAAACTCCTCTCGGATGGGACGAACCGTTTTTTTTCTCCTTCAAGAAAGGCGGCAGAATCGTCATATTGTTCATTTCACTTCAAGGAGAAATGACAAAAAATAAACAAACCAGCCTCTTCAGGTTCTAGAGTACCTCTACCAAATACTGACAGAGCAAACAAAGTCCCTTTAGTTTTACAAACAGCTAACGGCAAAAAAAAAATTACACCGAGTTGATGCTGTTCAGTGGTCACAGCGCCCTCTAGCGGTTGATTATGGCGACAGTGGTCCCTTCATTCCAAAGATACAAATAAGAACGAAAAAAAAAAACTATGACAGGACTACTCTCTAATCTACTTTCCATACAAAGAGGTAGAAAGCTTAATTTGGCAAACAAAAAGCAATTCGACATATTTTTTTTTTTCGTTTAAAAATTGGTGGGATAAATTACAGCAGACATTTAAAATCCAATTAAATAAACTGTCTAAGTTTGCACTTTTTTTGTTTTGTTAAAACGCTGAGTTGCTTTGAACACATTTTTTACCCGTCGAGACTTATTTGGTTCGTTTTATTTTTCTAATGACGAGAAAAAGGTACGAAACCAAGAAAAGGAAAATACACCGTGTTGGTTTCAATAATCGGTGGAGAAAGTGCTTTCAAGTTCATCAACAGCCGTTACAGATCAGCTCCATTCAACTTTGTACATAGAAAATGCAACCAAAATGGCATTATGCAAATCACTCGATTAACTATGCAGCGACGTGCTGCCACGTGATCGATGTCCTCAACGCCTATTGGTTGCACGGAAGGGATACTATTCTACGACACGGCAATACTTAACACGAACAAGAAGACGTATGTGGTGTTTTGTAGTTTGACTGGTTGTCTGTAAAAAAAAACAAAAAACGTTGTAGCATGCGTACACATTTTAACTGGTAACCAAAGTGAATAATGCATTTTGTGAAACTCGCCCTATATCAATAGGATAACTGAAAGACCAAAACATTAAACTTGAAAAAAATCAATAATTTCGTGGCGAGTTCAAATCTTTCAGGGGCAACCGGCAACATACTCTGAAAGATTGCACGTGCATCACAAAACAACTTTTCGTTAAAAAACGGCTGGAAAATTTGCGATTTTTTTTTTAAAGGTCTTTTGTTTTAAACATGAGCCTTAAATGTCCAATTGGAGGAAAGTGAAGACAATTGACAGCAGTACTGTACTTACTCTCAGCCTTGGTTTTAAATGACACCGATTTTTTTTTTTAACCAAAAAAATCTACATGCAGCAAATACCTCACCTCAAAAATAAAAAACGCGCCCTTTTTACACCTCTGGTTCACACCGCGTTCTTTTCATAATCGAGTACATCTTTCCCTTGTATTATATTTTGTTTTTTTGATTTACATTTGGCATTTCGATTACCACTTAAGGGAAGAAATATGCTCGGCGTCTTTTTTGCAAAACTCAACACTTTGGTCGGGATTTTGTTTTTAAATACATTAAAAGTTAACAGAAAAAGCCTCAATGCAGCACAGCCACCAATACGGAAGCTTGCTTCAATGTTACAGTTCAAAACGCAGGCGATCAGCTCGATTTCGTCATTGATTGTCAAACCGCGATGTCAAAAACACAAACGAAACACTCTACATGATGATATAAAACGAAGGAAATATCTCTCAAAAAACACGCCTCTTGTTGATAAAAAAAACTACATGTTAATATATAATTATATAAAGGTTCTATTTTGTCAGCCTCGTAAGTTACCCTGTTGCTTAGGTATGTCTAATTATACCTGAAGTTTCAGCAAAATGCCATGGAACTGTCAAAATAATCCCATTGGTTGAGTTAAACAGAACCAACACTGACGTCAGTCCGTTCCATGCTTTTGATTGGATAAAAAAAGAACCCCGCAGGGTCCACCATAAGGATTAATCATGCGACTCGCCCATGCAGCCGCAATGGAAACAAGTCTGATGTCCGGAGCTTTCATGAAGAAAATTCTGTGTGCATTTTTGCGAAGACTGTCGACCATCATAAGCTAACTACAAAAGACCAACCATAACGGTTTTGAAGAACGCAGATACACACACATGGCATACGAGCAGGGATAATACTGCACAACTTAGCACTGAATACTACCTCTTTAGAAAGAGAGTCATTTCTTTATCCAAGGTGCTCTTTTTTTTAAATTTAATTAGTCGGTGGGAAAACAATTCCTATAGATTTTTTTTACGAAGAGTCCTCGAATAGAATGGCAACACGCTTTTGTACCCACGAGAAATTGCAACACAAAACCCATTATATACTGTCTTTGGTTCATCTGCCCAGTAAGGTCGTCCATTTTGGACGATTCTGCGCATGTCAATGAACGCTTGATGTCATCAACCTCTTGGCGGGAGATTTAAAGAAAAGAAAAAGCATCCAAATGTCAAGCCAGCTGATGATGCTAGGTGAGATGCTGTGTATATTTCTTGCTCTTTCCTGTCAGGATCTTACATCTGAATGTTGGCGATTCAGAATCCGATTATCTGAAATCCATCCATGCCTGGTACAGACAAGAAGCAATTTTTTTTTTGGTAACTCCAAAGCTGAACGCGCGTTTTCATTCCGATCAAACTATCTCTTCGTGTGTTATAACATCAACTGTCTGTGCGAGGACTGATTAACGGCTGCTAGTCTCTCTCACAAGGCGTCTCATACAACCTCCTTCCTGGGCTCGTCTGCTTTCTCGCCGTTCGTCTTATTGGAGTTGGAATCGATCTTGCTCCCCGACGTGGAATGGGCCGAGTGCGGGGTGACGTTTGGGAATGCTTTGTCCATGTATTTCAGCATTTCGGTCAGCACGTTCTGCAGGGTGGCCATGGACGCGGAAAGAGCTGGGGTGCCGAAGCCGTGGGAGATGAGACTAAAATGCGTCAGGCATCGCTGGACGGAAGGCTCCAGGATCGGCTGTGGCCTCGTGTTGCCGATCGGGGTGCGGTCCTGGCACAAGACATCCTGAAGCTCTTTCAAGACTTGTCTAAAAAAACAAACAAACAAAAAACGACAAAATAATCATCAATTCATAGCGAACACATTTGGCTTTTGGGTTTAAAATCTGTAGAGAGAAGACAATGAGAAGAAATTACAGTTTTAGAGGTGGGAGGAAAAACCCAAAGGAATATTCTGAGGAAAACCCATGGAATCAGGTAGGGACTGAAAACCCAATCCACGTGTTGGTCCAGGCTGGATTCGAACCCGGGTCACAGCGGTGGAAGGCGAGAAAAGTACCACTACGCCAGCCTGACTCCCCTTGCATACAACAGCTCTCTAATTGCACAAGATGAAATACATGGGTGGGACTTGAACCCTCGACCGCCTGCTTTCAAATAAACAGAGATCTTAACCATTCGATTACTGAGCTTGCTGGGTTAGGTGAACAGTTCGAATCTGAGCGGGTTCGCAATCATTGTCCTGAGCCGTGAATTTTGTATGGCGTCGATCGTCGAGATCTGAATGAATTTCAAAGTTAAGTTTTGCCCTTCACAACCATTATGACTTTGTGCTCATATATTTGAGGAAGCGCCTTATCAAGTACATAACCATTAAAACTCGCAAGTGCATTTCTTTACCCCGATGCGACCGGAGTGCATTTAGATGATAATAATAACCTTCTATCAAAGAGAGATAATAATTGAAGTGGGATATACAGAAATGTTGGCGAGTTCGTATTTCTGAATGAAAAAAAGGGCACTGCATTCAAAATACCATGCTCTTTCATATTTTTTTTCTACTGTGGGGGAAATAAACCTGAAAACGAGCAGGGTTGGATTTTTGGTCATATTTGAACAGTGATTGTGACCGAAAGGTTTGTTCTGCTGATGGATATCACACAATCGATACATCATGAGGGATAGAACGTCTTCATCATCTCTTGTCATCGTTTTATGAACCCGTCTGCCACAAAAGAGCAAAGTACACGCTCGAGGTCGTATACAGGGAGGACGAACTTTCCTCTGACAAACACGGGACACAATTATTGTGGGCACTTCTTCCGTGAATTTATTTGCCGAATTGGAGGGGTGGATTGAAAAAAAAAAGGAGAGAATGTGGGTCTCCTTTCGCGCCACGAGGCGCCAATAATAGGTTTGCACTTAGCATAAGGAAAAAGGAGGTATTGTCGGGCGACCTACATCATGTGTACCTTTCATGCTTTGGCCGGTGTATCGTCATGAGGACAGCCCAACATGGAGGGCAGGCCTTTTGAAGAAGACTAATTGCTATTTAATAGTGCGGGTTTTTTTTGTCATCGCGGGGCGAAAGAGTCCAGAATAGAACGTGAGTGTCTCGGCTAAAGATCGGAATTCAAATATTCCAGAGCTGGTTGGTGAGTCATGGCTAACTGCCAAGTAATTGGGTTCGTGATGTGTGCTCTCCATTATTGTGTCACTCCTAATTTTTTCCCCTTTCTGCCTTCTGCACTTTTCAAATTCTTTGCCGAATGCACCCCAAAAGCGTACACCAGAAATGCAAGGCGTGAAATTCTATCAGCCTATAGACCTGCTTGGCGTAAGCCCGTAGATGCACCAAACTCTGGGCATATGTGATTCATATAGTTTCTGTCAAAAGTGGGTTTCTTTCTTTTTGAACTGCCCTGTATATGTATAGGCGTATACTCACTTAGTGGCTAGAACCATGTTTCTTCTGGTGGGGACTTCGGTGGGATCGTTGTGTTGCCTGGCGATGTACTCGGAGATCTGTCGGGCCGGGAACTCGGTCTCGCATAGGTAACCGTAGTCACGGGCTAAATGTATTGCTTCGCCTGTGAGAGAAGAAAAGAAACGGAACAGTCAAATTGGCTGGCCAAATAACCTCAAATAAGAGGTATTCTCAATAAAGAGCGCCACCAAGCGTTAGTCTGGAAGACACCACTTTCAAATATGAAGCATGGTCAAGTTGGTCAACATCCCGCATCCTGCATTTATTCCTTATTCCACAATTCCTCCGTTGCTTAACAGTTTTAAGTGAAGTTATTCTACATGGAAGGCGTGGGGAAAATACAAAATTAATATTCAAGTTTGCGCGCGCATGTCGACTCCCCCATAATGCACTTGGAACAATACCCATCTATAACCTCTTGGTGGCGCCCTGAACAATGAATCGCTGTTATTTTCACGTATAGTTATCCTGATATCAATGGTCACTTGAATGTTAGGAGTTGTAATTTAAAAAAAACAAAGACCTTTAAGATGACCAGAGAAATTGACCGGTGCAGGTTTTGGACCTGTGATTCTCGGAGCATGCATCGTACTGGTGCAGCATTACCGAAAAAAAGCAGGTAAAACACACAAGTTTTTATACAAAGAACGGTACATGTAAATGTAGATTTAATAACAAATAACTATTCGGTCACATGAATAAGCAGTTATATAAGTGGCCTTAATAAATTGTACAAATGGAAAATGACAATTTTGTTTCAGTCTCGCCAAGTTAGCTTCAAAGAGCAACACAATTCGGGTTTTGATTATAGAATAGGCTCCCAGAGGTATCAGTCCTAACCGAGTCCACAGTGGATAACACTCGTCGAGCGATAGTGCTTCTAGCTGCAATGTGAAAGGTTGACCAGATTGTCAAGCTCATGTCCGCGCGGATAATCTTCATTTTGTCACTCTGTAATAGCCCTCCACAGAATGTCATGATTGCCGTATGATATCCCCGATATAAAAGCGTGGATAGGGCCCCTCATCTTCTGTCGCAGTACGCAGGCATCAGGCCGGCTCCCTCGACACTCAACGACCCTCCACAATGCCCTATCCAAACACGGCTTCCTTTCACGCCGCCACACAACCGCGATACAAAATACTGTATATTCAGCAAACATCGCATTCAGCTGCGGCTACACTGACACCGCGGTTTCCACGGCAACTGCAATCGTACACGAACCCGCTTCTTTTATATTTTGCTCTTTCTTTTTGCCGAGTTGGTTCTTTTTTTTTCATTCTTCGTTCGCCGCAAATATATCTCCCCTCAGGGCCTTTCCTTCTTCTTTTTTTTGAAGATTTTCTTCTTGTTTTTTTTTCTTTCCACGTACCCAATTATATATTGCGCACAGCGTAATTACGCACCGATAGGATGTGATTTAGAGGCAAGGAATCGACAAAAAGTAACCGAAGAGTAAGTGCACTTCTGACGCTTCAATCCGACGCTCATCGAGCGTCCTGATTGGCTGGGGGGAATCTAACACCCTTCCGCATTGGTCGGTTAGATTGTAACCGTTTGCGTTGGCCAATCACAAGATTCGATATTTCCACGTGACTGACGACAAAAATCAGATGAGATCTCGCATACTTTTTAATTAATTGATTATTTCTCAAGGAATACATCATTTACTTTTGTGAAACCTAATAATACACTGGCTACATTGTGCAATCTTGGCCCTTCTTGGCTCACTGTGATGTTTGTGTCATGACCAAAGATTAAAATCATCATCGTGTTTACCACGTGTTTATTACAATTCCTTTATTATCATGGTCATTATCATCTTAAGCGGCAACACAGCATTGGACGCAGACGAAACACTGCAGTAGCCTAATTCCCCTAACCAGCCTCCCCATTAAACCGCGGCCTCGAAACCATTTCCCCAAGTACCACTTGCTCTTTGCGTCACCTTTCCAAACGCATCGTTCAAGCGTTCAATCCCGCCAAAGCCATCCAATATTAATCAAAGCGCATGCATACGCGTACATACATCATCACCGGGTGCCGACGAAGCCTAGAAACTGAACGATGGAGCGGGTCGCGAACTCGCCGAGCGGCCCCGGCGCTGACACGTCCCGGGGTTCGCTAGCGGGGTGCCCCGGGGGCCAATGAAGCCCGGGCCCCGCTGAGAGAGAGAGAGCGGGAAAAAGACCGCGCACGGTATACGGCGCGGTCGCCAGGCAAAATAAAACGACTATAAAGAAGAAGCTTCGCCGGGCAGTGATCTCTTTAATTTTCTCCTCTTGCAAAACGGAGGAGGCCTAGATATTGGCGCACACACGGGGGATGTTTAGCTGGCAAAGAGGGATGTGTTGTGGATGGTACGCCTCAGGCTACAACTAATTACTGCATTTTATCATGCTCACTTTTTTAACCGGTCTAGAACTTGACTATAAATAATGGCCTGTCGTGCTTGTTTCTGTTTATTTCTTAAGGTTTTTTTTTCTTCTCTCTCTTTCTCAGTATAGGGGAATGGCCGGCCCCTGGGTATTTCAGGCAGGTCGTCTCCAAGTATTTACGGGAACAGGAAGGGTTTGGGTGAACTGTTTTAACGTGCCATTCGTGTGTTTGTACCTCGTCACCTTTAAAGATTTCTGGGTTCTTTCTTATAGTCAAGAGACCTTTAATCTGTGTATTATAGGCAAGCCTTGGGGATAATTTAGACTGGTTAGTTGCACTTAAGCCCCAGTATGTGTTTGGAGCGTTCAAATATAAGTGTTATCAAGAATATATTGAAGATGGGAAGAATGGATATCTTGCGCTATCTTAGTAGATATCAAAATAATGCTATATTTTTTTTCAGGCCGGTAATACGGATATTAAAGGGCTTGCATGACTTGTGTACCACTTATATTGCCACTTTGTATAATGTATTTTTAAAGCACGCATTCTCCCCGCTTAATATTGATGGCGCACCACATCCGCTAAAATGGATAGACCAGTAAAATCGTAATTTATTTTTTTATCATTCTGCATCGCGCACTTTCGAAGAAAATCGTCAGAAACTCTACTCTCGCCTTGCTCCGCTTCGAATAATAAATAAATTGCTTGGATTTTCGGAAATGATTCCTTCCGTTGTGCTGATGGTTCTGGCGGCGGGACCGGCGTGCACAACGTACGGGCGGTGATGAGGGAGAAAAAAACAAAAATAACCGTTGTATCGTCACGGCGTGGTGGGTAAACGGTTGGGCTAGTTGCCGGCGGCTTGGCCCCGGGGCGGCACGGGTTTAAGGGCTCGCAGTAAAGGCCCTCGGGGCGATCTAAACCTCGCACTTTTTTTATTTTCGTGAACACGAGAAGTGAGAGGCAACTCCGCGACAACGACGTGAACGTGCCAGCTGGATGAGCGCGCGCGCGCGCGTGTGTGTTAATGAAACCATCAAGTTTACCCAAGCTTATTTATGTCATTAATGCTTTCAAATTTAATTAGAGTGATGAAAAACTAATGCACATGCCACCTATTGAGGCATTTCTGAACAGGAGATCTTAACTCTATCTGTTTGTGTGCTACATATCCCCTGCGGTTACTACAAAGCAAGCTTATTTGAACTGTATTTTTTTTGTTTGTTATAATGTATATAGCGAAGTCGAGCTCTTCAACCATACGTGGTGAAAAAAAATCTTGTAAAAAATCACAAGAATAGTGTTATTATGCTAATTTGAATACAAGTCACCAAAATCACTACTGTCCACGTGAAAGTCTAGTTCAGTGTTTTTTTTTGTCTTGAAATCAAGCTCTGGAGCTCAGTCGAGCGGATGGAATAAAGCCGTCCATGGACAAACAGGTTTGGCACATGCAATTTTCAAACTACCATATCTCAGAAACAAAATATGTATTTGTAATCATGTTTTCGTCACTTATGTTTAAACATCAATATTGTAATACCATTAAATTGACTTTTCGAAACATGCTCTACAAGTAGGTAAAAATTGCTGCCAAAAGTGGGTTTCCTTCTTTTTGCACCACCACGTAGTCTTGCATTTATTTGTTTTAAAGAAAGAAATATTTTCCATCAATAGAGATAAATACATTCAGAGCGAAATACCTCTTGAATTGTTTTTCTTTGTGGGATTTTTGATGATCGTTTTTTTTTTTTTTTAATATTTTTAATATTTTTAGTGAGCCGTTGTGACGATGTACGGACAGGGGTCATGCACCGATCGTACTACTCCCCACTTTGATGTCATAACACCCTCATTTTTTTTTCTTTCGCCGTCTCTACCTTCTGACCTATTTCTACGCTCTAATTTGCCGTGCAAGGGAGGGTTTTTGGGCCCTCTTCCCCCTGGACCCCTCTAGGCACTATTTTCTTGGTGGTTTGTGCCGATGCGCGGTGAGTGCGCGCTGTACCTCTCTGCGTACACACACATAATATACAGACACCGCCGTTGCTGTTTACAGCGCCGTGGGCGTCGCACGTGCTTGTAGCGGCTGAGTCAGTTTGGCGCGCTAATGAGATATGAGTTTATAACGTGCAGATCAGGTATTGGATAAACTAAACCAGCCTCTGTGTACACTTAAGTCTTAGATTCATTAAAAACCAAGATCAGCATAATACACAAGTTGTATACCATAACAATAGTGTGTACCCTTTTTAAGGCATAAAAAGCTAGTAGGCTTTGCCAGTGGCGTATCGGGGGGGGGGGGGGGGGCTGAGGAGGGGAGGGGTGGGGTGGGGGTCCGTTACCCCTTGGGTTGGAAAAAGAAAGAAAATCATGTAAGAAAAAACCCACAAAGTTACCCCCCTCACCTGGAGCCAAAGCTGGACACGCCCCTTCTACACCATGGCCATTTTTACAGTAATCAGTATACCACAGAGAAGATTTTTTTCTTCAATGACAAATTGATTCTACGCCTATTGTGAAAAAATAAGACTCTGAAAATGTAGAGCAAACACTGGCAGTAAAACGCCCGCCTGATTGCAAATGGTTCGCTCAATTTCAGCGATAATTGGGCCGAGGCGGTACGGGAGCGACTACCGAAAAGGAAACCTGTGAACAGGTTTTACGTCCGCATGCATTGAGCGTGGTGTATGCAAGAGACGTTGCAAGGCTTCGGTGTTT